AAAATTGAGAAAAAATGGGGAAAATGGGGGAAAAAATGGGGGAAACAATGGGAAAAAACGGGGAAAACAACGGGAAAAAATGGGAAAAAAATGGGGGAAAAATGGGGGAAAAAATGGGGAAAAAGTGGGGAAAAAACGGGGGAAAAGCGGGGAAAAAGTGGGGAAAAAATGGGAAAAAATGTGGAAAAAAAGGGGAAAACAATGGGGAAAAAATGGGGGAAAAGCGGGGAAAAAATGGGGAAAAAATGGGGAAAACAATGGGGAAAATTGGGGAAAAATGGGAAAAAAATAGGGAAAAAATGGGGGAAAAGCGGGAAAAAAATGGGAAAAATGGGGAAAAAATGGGGGAAAAGTGGGGAAAAAACGGGGGAAAAATGGGGGAAAAAATGGGGAAAAATGGGGAAAGCAATGGGAAAAAAATGGGGAAAAAACGGGGGAAAAATGGGGAAAAAATGGGGGAAACAATGGGGAAAAATGGGGAAAAAATGGGGAAAAAATTGGGAAAACTGGGAAAAAACGGGGAAAAAAATGAGGAAAAATGGGGGAAAAAATGGGGGAAACAATGGGAAAAAACGGGGAAAACAACGGGAAAAAATGGGAAAAAAATGGGAAAAAATGGGGGAAAAATGGGGGAAAAAATGGGGGAAAAAGTGGGGAAAAAATGGGGAAAAAATGGGGGGAAAATGGGGGAAAAATGGGGAAAAAGTGGGGAAAAAGTGGGGAAAGAGTGGGGAAAAAATGGGGAAAAAGTGGGGAAAAAATTGAGAAAAAATGGGGGAAAATGGGGAAAAAATGGGGAAAAAATGGGGAAAAAATGGGGAAAAAGTGGGGAAAATTGGGGAAAAGTGGGGAAAAAATGGGGAAAAAATGGGGGAAAATGGGAAAAAATGGGGAAAAAATGGGGGAAAAAATGGGGAAAAAATGGGGAAAAAATAGGGAAAAAATGGGGGAAAAATGGGGAAAACAATGGGAAAAAACGGGGAAAAATGAGGGAAAAAATTGGGAAAACCATGGGAAAAAATAATGGGAAAAAACGGGGAAAAAAATGGGGAAAAATGGGGAAAAAAATGGGGAAAAATGGGGGAAAAGCAGGAAAAAAATAGGGAAAAAATGGGGGAAAAATGGGGAAAACAACGGGAAAAAATGGGAAAAAAATGGGGAAAAATGGGAAAAAACGGGGAAAAAAAAGGGAAAAAATGGCGAAAAAAAGGGGGAAAAATGGGGAAAAACCTGAAAAAAATGGGAAAAAACTGGGAAAAAACTGGGAAAAAACCCGGAAAACACTGGGAAAAAATCAGGAAAAAAATGGGGAAAACAGGAAAAAACCTGGGAAAAATCAAGAAAAAACTGGGAAAAAATGGGGAAAAACCAGGAAAAAAAACGGAAAAATCTGGGAAAAAATGGTGAAAAAAATGGGAAAAAATTGGGAAAATCTGGGGAAAAAACAGGAAAAAACAGAAAAAGCTGGGGAAAAACGAGGAAAAAAACATGAAAGAAAAAAAGGGGAAAAAAACCAGGAAAAAACCAGGAAAAAAACAGGAAAAAACCCAGGAAAAACTTGAAAAAACAGGGAAAAAATTGGAAAAACAATGAGAAAAACCAGGAAAAAAATGGGAAAAAACTGGGAAAAAGCCGGGAAAAAACTGGGAAAAATCTGGGAAAAAATGGGAAATACAACGGGAAGAAACCAGGAAAAACTGGGAAAAAGTCAGGGAAAACTGGGAAAAAACTGGGAAAAAAATCAAGAAAAAACCGGGAAAAAATGGGAAAAAATGGGAAAAAAGGGGAAAAACCTGAAAAAAATGGGAAAAAAATGGGGAAAACTGGGCAAAGCCTGAAAAAAATGGGAAAAAAAGGGAAAAACTTGAAAAAATGGGAAAAAAATGGGAAAAAACTTGAAAAAATGGGAAAAAAAGGGGAAAAACCTGAAAAAAATGGAAAAAAAAAGGGGGAAAAATCTGAAAAAAATGGTAAAAACTGGGAAAAAAGGGGAAAAACCTGAAAAAAATGAAAAAAAATGGGAAAAAACTGGGAAAAACCTGAAAAAAATGAAAAAAAATGGGAAAAAACTGGGAAAAACCTGAAAAAAATGGGAAAAACTGGGAAAAACTGGAAAAAAATGGGAAAAAAAGGGAAAAAACCTGAAAAAATGGGAAAAAAGGGGAAAAAAGGGGAAAAACTGGAAAAAAATGGAAAAAACTGGGAAAAGAAGGGAAAAACCTGAAAAAAATGGGTAAAAATTGGGAAAAAGAGGAGAAACCAGAAAAAAATGGGAAAAAAGGGAAAAACAGAGAAACCAGAAAAAAATGGGAAAAAAGGGAAAAACCTGAAAAAATGGAAAAAAATGGAAAAAAACGGGGAAAAAAAGGGAAAAAAATGGGAAAAAAAGGAGAAACCTGAAAAATATGGAAAAAAATGGAAAAAAAGGGGGAAAACCTGGGAAAAATGGGAAAAAACTGGGAAAAATTGGGAAAAAACGGGAAAAAAAAGGGAAAAAAATGGGAAAAAAAGGAGAAAACCGGAAAAAAATGGGAAAAAAATGGGAAAAAACTGGAAAAAAATGGAAAAAAATGGGACAAAAGGGGAAAAAAAGGGGAAAAACCTGAAAAAAATGGGAAAAACAGAGGAAAAAATGGAAAAAAAAGGGAAAAACTGGGAAAAACCTGAAAAAAATGGGAAAAACTGGGAAAAACCTGAAAAAAATGGGAAAAAAAGGGGAAAAACCTGAAAAAAATGGGAAAAACTGGAAAAAAATGGGAAAAAATGGGGAAAAACCAGAAAAAAACCGGGAAAAAACCGGGAATTTCCCGCCAAAAGCCCATCCCGGTTTTCCCACGCTGACGATTCCCGTTTTCCCGGCGTTTTTTCCAGAGAAATCCGCCGACGACGACGTGCAGAAATCCGACGTCTCCTCCAGCAGCCAGGGCGGCGTCATCGAGAAGGAATCGCTGGGGCCTCTCCTGCTCGAGGTGGGAAAATCCCGGAATTCCGGCTCGGGAAAAATCCGGGAATTCCGGCTCGGGAAAATCCGGGAATTCCGGCTCGGGAAAAATCCGGGAATTCCGGCTCGGGGAAAATCCGGGAATTCCGGCTCGGGGAAAATCCGGGAATTCCGGCTCGGGGAAAATCCCGGAATTCCGGCTCGGGAAAAATCCGGGAATGAGGGAAATCCCGGGGTTTTTATTGCCGGGATTTGGAGTTTGCCGGGTTTTTCACGGGATCCGGATCCGGATTTGGCGATTCCATCCCGGAGTTTTCAACGGTTCCGGCGCGGAAATTCCCGATTTCTTTTCTGCTTTTCCCGATTTTTCCCTTTGGAATTTTTTCCAGTTTTTTGGGATAAAACCTTGGAATTTTTTCCCAATTTTTGGGATAAAACCTTGGAATTTTTTCCTCTTTTTTGGGATAAAAGCTTGGAATTCTTTCCCTTTTTTTGGGATAAAACCTTGGAATTTTTTGGGATAAAATTTTGGAATTTTTGGGGATGAAACCTTGGAATTTTTTCCCAATTTTTGGGATAAATCCTTGGAATTTTTTCCAGTTTTTTGGGCTAAAACCTTGGAATTTTTTCCTCTTTTTTTGGATAAAACCTTGGAATTTTTTCCCAATTTTTTGGATAAAACCTTGGAATTTTTTCCCAATTTTTGGGATAAAACCTTGGAATTTTTTCCAGTTTTTTGGGATAAAAGCTTGGAATTTTTTGGGCTAAGACCTTGGAATTTTTGGGGATAAAATCTTGGAATTTCTGGGGGTAACACCTTGGAATTCTTCCCAATTTTTCCCCATAAAACCTTGGATTTTTTTCCCAATTTTTGGGATAAAACCTTGGAATGTTTGGGGCTAAAGCCTTGGAATTTTTTCCTGATTTTTGGGATAAAACCTTGGAATTTTTTGAGATAAGATTTTGGAATTTTTGGGATAAAACCTTGGAATTTTTTCCAGTTTTTTGGGATAAAATCTTGGAATTTTTTCCCAATTTTTGGGATAAATTAAATTCTTGGAATTTTTGGGGATAAAACCTTGGAGTTCTTCCCTGTTTTTCCCTATAAAACCTTGGAATTCTTTGGGATAAAATCTCAGAATTTCTGGGGGTAAAACCTTGGAATTTTTCCCCTGTTTTTCCCCATAAAACCTTGGAATTTTTCCCGTTTTTCCCCATAAAACCTTGGAATTTTTTAAGTTAAAACCCTGGAATTGTTTCCTGATTTTTGGGATAAAACCTTGGAACTTTTCGCTGTTTCATGGGATGAAGGCTTGGAATTTTTCCCTTGGTTTTCGCCATAAAACCTTGGAATTTTTGGGGCTAAAACTTCGGATTTCTCTCCTATTTTTTAGGCTAAAACCTTGGAATTTTTGGGATAAAACCTTGGAATTTTTTCCCGTTTTTCCCCATAAAACCTTGGAATTTTTTCCCATTTTTCCCCATAAAACCTTGGAATTTTTCCTCTGTTTTTCCCCATAAAACCTTGGAATTTTTGGGATAAAACCTTGGATTTCTCTCCTATTTTTTAGGCTAAAACCTTGCAATTTTTGGGATAAAACCTTGGAATTTTTCCCATTT